TTTACAGGAAGAAAAATCCTATGTTTGTAATGTGTTAAAATATTATTTTAAATAAGGATTAAGGGATTTTATTTTTTGCCCCCTAAGAAATACCGAGCTAAAGTTCTCTTGATTGCGTTTGACTCTCTCCATCTCTGGAGTGATAGGTGTGGGGGTTCCTTTCCCCAAATTTTCTTTGTACAAAACCTGTGAGATACAAGAAAGTACCCAGAAGACATTCAAAACAAGCACAAAGATTAAGGATGGGAGACATTTGGGGGCAGGGGTGTGTGTGAGAAGGGAGTTTTTTAGTGAGTAATATTTAGTAAGGATAATGCTTTTACTTTTTACGTCACAATTTTAATGATAAACTCTACGCTACTAATTCTGGGAATGAAAAAGTACAACGGAAAGCAGTGAGTTATCAGATATGAGTGTAAAGATGAGGAATCTTGTGTTAATTCTACTTACAGTATTTCAGATCTAAGTACTCACACTTAGTTGTTAAAAGTGTTAAAATACTATCAGAAAAGTGAGTCACTTCGTATGAGTCTAGACAGTTTGGGTCAGGTAAGAACACACACACACACACAGAATTGTTGTTAAGATGTTACTTTTTAAAAAAGGGTGATGGGTTATTCTGGTAATTTTTTAAACGGGAAATAGAGTTTCTTATTTGATATATTTGTAAATACCGAGCTAAAGTTCTCTTGATTGCGTCTGACTCTCTCAATCTCTGGAGTGACGGGGGTTGGAATGCCTGTTCCCAAGTTTTCTTTGTACATAACCTGTAGGAGATAATTAGATCCAAGAAGGTAAAATGACCATGAATCCTTTGGATTACTGCTACATGTAGGCTATTTGGTGGAAACTCACAAAAACAATCCCGCTTTCAAATATGACACTCAAGGAATAAGGAAAAGAAATTGCACAAATATGTGTGTTCTTTCTTCAAAAGTAGTAATTTTACTGCCTTGAACACTGGTTACTAAATTATGCATTTCTATAGTCAACACATAGTGCACTTTTAAAATGCATTAATAGCGGTAACAAATTCGACAATGAGAAAAATCTAACCATTTCATAACATCTAGTATTAGTCCCTTGAATATACTAGACCCACAGTAGATTTGTACTTAATAAATAGGTTGCTTGATTTAGAGTTTTCTAATCACATGATACTCTATTCCTTCAGGGTTGTTGAGAATTTTCTTTGTATTTTCTACTGAAAATTCCTAGCCGGCTCCTTGTCTGTAGGCACCCTTAATGTGAGGAGACAAACAGTTTGTTTTTTCAGGAAGAGCGTCTTCCCTGAAACTGATGATTGCTGGATCATGTAAACTAGTACTTTTCGAAATGGGAGAAGTCCCTATTTGTTACGGGTGGTATCAAAGGATTGTAAATTTTAATGAACTGAGTAAGGAACCTCTGAGCCTCTCTCCTCCTTCCTTTCCTCCTTCCCTCTTAATATTAAGAATTGTCAGCCTAAAGGAAGGCATGGATTCTTTTCAAACGGATGGATTCTATGGTGTACTGGAGCATGGGGTGGGGAGCAACATGAAAAGCCCAGGGGTTCGTGGCACAGATTAATTCCTCAGGTCACTGACAAACTAGTGCTGGTATCTTTGTTTTGCTGGGGAACTTTCAGAGATTGTTAAAAACCTACCATCTTGGTACAAAGTTGTGTTTCTTTACCCAGCTAGGCAGCAGAACAGATCACGGACAGCAGAACAAAACAAAATCAGAGAAAGGTAAGAAGCTGCAATCAAAAGCGACAGAGGAGCTGCGGGCTAGTTGTCCTGGATTAGTGGACATGAAACTCTAAATGAAGTGTGCGCCACCAGGAAGCCAGAGTGTGAGCAGGGAACGAGGTCTAAACAACGGGAACGACTTGCAAGAGAAACATCGAGTGTCTTCTAATGGAAATTGAGTGAGAGTTCAGTCCTCCAGTGACCAGGAGAATCTCTAAGACCAAGGGCCTCACCTTTTATTGGCCATAAACTATTCCCCAAACTTCACACAGTCTCTTGCTAGTAGCCAGCAATTGCTGAGAATCTGCTTATGGACAGAAAGTGTGTGTGTCTCGGGGCTGGGGGGAATGTTGCAGAGGCAAGGCTAGCTGGACGGAAGGTCAGGAGAAATGTGTGTTTCACTGTTATTTCAGGTGTGGAGGACACCCCCCTCCCCCACACACACATTGTGTACAGGTGCCTGAAATTCCTATTAGAGAAAAGGCTTGATACATAATACACCCTGTGGGGAAGTGGCACCTTAAACATACACTGCATTTACAAGGAGAGAGCAGAGGATACAGGGCAAGAAATCTTGAAAGGGAGGGGAGAAGGCTGCAGAGACTTCACAAGTCTACCTAGGGTCTTCCTGGACGGTGGAGAATGCCCTGCGAGATACATACATGCATACACGTCTGTGTGTCTATATAAAAATTCATTTGATGTTACTTGTATGTTTGTATGCATATGCTTTTGGTTAACTAACTTGAGATCATCCCAATAACCTCATTACTACTGTTGGCACATTTTACTTTAGAAACCGCAGGCATGATGATTAATCAAGAAGCCAAGTCCCCCTCCTTGATTACGTGAAAACAGAGGTTTCTTATCTACTTTTGCAACCCTAGTGCCCTCTCAGGACTGGGGGAGGATTCACACCATCCTCAAAGCGTGGGAAGCCCTTGGTAGCAGGAAGAAGGGAGGAGATGAGCTAGCGGAGCAGTGGGGAGGTGGCTGGTTGCACAGACACGCTGAGAGTGTGGGCCACTACCGAGCTAATGTGCTTCTGTGTCTCCTTGACACGTTTCACTTCAGGCAGGTCAGGGACTGGGATCCCTTGTCCAATTGCTTCCTTATACTTCACCTGCAGATATGAAAATGGGAAACGACAGGTATTGTTACATGCTAGGTAGTTATTCTTTCCAGCACATGCATATGTTTCATTAGTAGCCCTGCAATTTAAATAACATAAGCTGTGCACTGAGTGGGAATGGTGCCCCATTCCTACGATATTGGGTCAGAGGAGAACTATGCCAAGGACGAGGACACTTGGTCTCTCTCCTGTGAAGTTATGGGTGGGGTAGAGGCGGGGGTCACTCCTTAGATTATGACCCCTTATCTTTCTTGTGTCCTCCAAAGTTTTACACCCAGCAGTTCATTTGACTAGGACAGACATATTCACATACATATGTCCAGAAAGGCTGATTCTTCAACTCTAACATATTCTGACTTTCTTACAAGTGACAAAATTTAGTCAGGCTCCTCTGAATCCTCTTCCCAACCAGGCCTCGACTTTTGGACTTCCGTATCCATCCTTGCTTTGCTCAATTTTAGCAAGAATTCTGCTAGGTCAGTTTAGCCAGAATCCCCCACGCTCGATATCTCACCACCCTCAATATCTGACCAAATTTCTCAGCCCCCCCATCCCCCAGGTGAGGTCTGATCACCCTGCCCTACCTACAGCAAGATTCCTGTTAGGTCGGTTTAGCTAGAACACCCCCACCCCTTCCCTGATGTTTTCTCTGAGTAATTTTCCACCCATTGATGGTTCTCTCCCCACCAACCCACCTTTGGCTATAAATTCTCACTTTTCCTTGTTGTATTCGGAATTGAGCCCAGTTCTATACTAAGATCTCTTTTCCTCTATCACAATAGTCCTGAATAAAATCTGTTTTTACCACTTTAACTACTGTCCACTCTGGTTTGCTTGGGCACAGCCCTCTCTAAAACATATCTAAAACATTAGATATGTTTTCCATATCTAATCTCCCCTCGTAAAAACTGCTGTGACACTGCACTATCAGATGACTGTAACCACAGGCACGTATTTTAGCAACTTAAGATGATTCTGGTGCCAAGGTTCTGAATGCAACTCAGACACCAATATAAATTATCAGAGGGAGGCAGACAATATTGAAAATGAGTCCATGGTGGGTGTCTTTACCGAGCTAATGTGGTCCTGTGTTTGCTTCACTCTCATCATCTCAGGTGTCTTTCCAATTGCTGTTCCTGGTGAGACATCTTCTTTATATAAAACCTGGGCATTCAGAATCAGGACAGTGTTACACAGAAGAAAGGAAACCTCAGCAATTCCTGGAGAAAGACTAGGAAACATGGCTTCTGTGAAAACAAAAGACACTAGAGAATGTTCTTAGGCAAATGTCAGAATACCTGATGTGTTCCACATCAGTATCAGTAATTCAAACCATATATACAACACAGAGCACTTTCTAGATCTTGAGATTTCTTTTAAGATTATCGTACTGTATTAACACAGAAAGCAAAAACCTAGAAAATGTTGATTAACAGAAAACCCCTCCCATATGAAACACAAAGTCCGTTAAAGAAATGCAGTCAGTCAGTTATTTTGGGGAGGGATAATTAAAGAAATCACAATGTCAAAAAGAAATCCATCTTCCTGGAGCAAGACAACACATGTTACTGCTCTGGGATTAAAAAATTTAAAAAAAAGAAAAATTTCTTTGTTAGCAGATTTAAGCTGTTATCTAGAATGGTGTCCAGAGTGAGGATTTTAGAGCAAATTATGGGGAACTTTAACAAATAACCACTAGTATTAACCAGGGAGGTTAGATGTTAATTGTCTGAATCAATGTGAAGCTAGTATATTTTTAAAGAGGAGAACGGAATTATTAGGTTAGCATTAAATGGAAAATAAATAGTAAATATACCGAGCTGAAATTCTTTTGATTTTCTTTAACACGCAGTATTTCTGGCGTGTCTTGAACAACTGTAATTTTTCCTTTACTGTTTTTAAGGTCGCACTGGTATTGGAGCTATGAAGAAAGAGTAAACATCCTGTTAAGATTTCAACATTGTTTTATATATTTTTAATTGTCCTATATTTTAATTGTCCTATATTGTATAAAGGAAGTTAAAATTCTATATTTTTAAAAAAATGTCTATGCCACAATAATCATGGTCTGATAGCCAAAGGGAGATTCTTTTTTTTTTTTTTTTTTAA